CAGTTTACTTATAAAAAGGTCGTAAGAAACGCAGCTCTATTCGGTGGAGTAACCCGTAAAAAGGAGCATCCCCTCCAATGTCTTCAGGAAAGTAATCAACGTGCAACGAGATTCTCACTGTCATTGAGTGACTGAAACTTTCTTGATTACTTTCTTAAATATTACACAGCCGCGATGTCTCATTCCACTTTACAGTAAAAAGTATATTCATATTTGTACAGGAATTTATAGTACCTACTTCATAACGAAGTCAGGAAGTGAAAAACGAATTAACACAGAATAATTTCATAGATTCAATAATATACTATATATGGAAATATAGAATTATCTCGACTCAAACTATTATTCCCTCTCGGAAGTTTAAGGGCTTCAATTATTGAATCTATATCAGCAGCGAAAAATCATGTATAATTTCTTCTTGTAATGGAATAAACATAAATTCTTGTAAAACATTCTTTGTTTCTCTTTCATTTTATATAAATGGTTGGATAAATAGCTGAAAAATTTAATCGACTATCGACGAATTCAGTCGCCTAAGGCATGTTCGAAATAAATTACGCGGCTGTTTATTAATCATTAACATAAAGGATAAAAAAGGATTTGCGGCGCATTTTGTATGTTTAATCTATAGAAAGCGAGTGACGTGTGGTATGCGAAAAAAAACTCATTTATTTCGCACCGCGAACTAAAATTACCTACGATATCTCATTCGCGATCTTATAAAATCCAACGGCTACAGCGAACTACAGCCTTAAGCAAAGATTAAACTTCATGTAATAAATATTTTGTTGTGTGCGCCGAAACGTTTTATCGAACACGTTATACATATCATGGCAAAGCAGCCATCGGCGAAAGCTCGGGTTGGTAGCTTTAAAAGGCTTTTAAATATTTCCATCGATGTGAGAAGCAGTTTCGAAAAATACACGGAAAACCTATCGTCGTAAACACTTTGACGGCACATCGATAAAGTGGTTACGGTTGAATATTCGATTTTTTTCATTTACCATATACTGCTACGTCAACCAGAACGATATTTTTATCCGCACATATTTCAGAAAGCATAAGCGTAAAAAAAAAAAAATAATAAAATTCAAATAAAATCCTTTCAAATATGTACTTTCCACGGAATTCAACGGAAGCAATGAAATTTTTAATAATAAGCGTTGATTACGAAGAGAAAATAATAATTAATAATTGCTGCGCGGATACCTTTTTTAACGTAATTATGTGATATATAATTCAAAATTATTCTAAATATTTCTCCGCAACTCCTTTTAAGTATAAGTCTGTGCGCTATCAATACAATTCTGTGTCCATTTTTAAGCAGTAGTCTAAAGTTTTATTAAACTTATGAAAATATTTTACTTTTTTACACATATATGTGAAATAAACTTTCATATAAAACGATATTTCTAAAACGCAGATTTATATTATTATATGAAAAATGTCTTTATATGAAAACATAAAAATTTGAAACTGTCAACAATTTTTCTGATTATAACAAGCATATATTTTCAAATTTTAAATAAGGCATGAGTATAATCATATAATACGGAATCATATATATCTTCCACGTTACATAAAGGCTTTTATATATTTAACTATATATATTAAGAGATGTAATAATATGAAAATTTGAAAGAGAGATTCGCAAATTATTTTATCACATTTATAAGTAATGAATGACAGTTATATATTGAGCTTGTCTCATGATGTATTATAATCGACGTTCCCATAGAATAAACGCGAGAATTATTTGCATTACGTTTCACGTAAAAATAAATTGATTTTCCCCGACCTCGCGGTAAGAGTTAAGATGTTAATGGCAGAAGAGATATTATATTATTATTATTATTATTATATACATTTGCTGCGTCGAAGCGGTCGCTTTGCCGATGTAGAGAACAATCAGCCGGGGTCTAATAAGAGAATAATAATCTCCACGCGAAACTTATTACGACTTGTTAGCCAATCTCAAATCCTCGAAGGCGAAATGTCACCGATAGATGGAAGGACATCCATTATGCCAGAGAGGATTCTCGGAGGACAGCACAAGATTGGATAACATCGTTGAAAGAGGAGAGAAAAAAAGAGCGTATTATATCTACCAGTGTTCCTTAAGTCACGGAAAAGAGGACGCCCTTTCGTGATATTACCGACAAGAGACCGATCGCCAACGAAAGTTCATCGCCGTCACATCGATCTTACCGTCGATCCGTCTCGTCGAAGGGGAAACTGAGGATCTTGATCGGCCAAAGGGAGACGGAAACACAGACGCTGCAAGATGCATGTCGATGCAATACAGTGATCTCCGGCCTTAAAGATCGAAACAGTCTCTTAGTTAGTCTTCTCTCGAACTTCGCCGTACATAGTTATACCACTAACTAGTCGTTTGTTGTGAACGAAAAAGTTACGACACCTTTTTCCTGTCAATGAGTGTCTTGGAATGAAATTTTCGAAAATCGTGAGACCGCCTTCGCGACTTTGCGCACTTTCTGAAACTCATTCATGAAGGAAAAGAATCTGTTGCAATCTTTTTGTCCATATCTTTAAATAATTTTCAAGTGCGAATTAATTCAGCAATGTTTGGTTTCAAAATAAAGGAAATTACGAACTCTTGGGAATCTCTTCACAACTTCATCCTCTCTCTCTTTCTCTCTTATTGTACTTACATATTTCATATCCTTGAAAACAACGCGAATGTATTACTTTAATTATATTCCAACAAAGAATGTGATTGCTTTTTAGCAAGCATATATTTATGGAATTCTAAATACAATTATATTCATATAGCGATTCTCAGGTATGAATAATTACAATTTTGATAAAGAGATTAAAGTGCATATGTTATATGTATGTACATCTTATGTCATTAGAATTTATATAAGTATGGCAATAAATTAATATTAAATTAAAATTGATATTTTAAAAAGAAAAAATTAGATAATATAAAAATATATATAGTAATCAGAATATTCGTCAGTAATTAAATATGAATAGAATAATTAAAATTTCTTAATAATTAAAAAATTTGCTTATCAATAAATAAAATATTATTCTTCAATTTTACATATTTCACTTGCTATTGTTCTCGTAATCACCATCTATTACTTTAACAATCATTACTTTATACAAATAATAAATGGAGATTTAAACCACCGATCGAGAGCGAAAGGATTAAAAAACGAAGGTAATACGCGTCGCTCAACATGTCAATGTTCGTACTTTCTAAAAATGTTCCTATTTCTCAGTGTGTGGGACGACGTAACATTACGTCGCCAGAGCCTCAATCCTGCCGCGGGATCGTGGATCCTTATCGATGTCTTTCCAGGACAACAATAGAAAGACAGGAGGACCACGTAACGTCGAGGCGCGAGAGAACGCGTCCTTCCGGCATCTTAATATTCTTTTCGGTGTATTACACGCGCGTTTCCGCGTGCCTATGCGCGGGACAATGCAACACCTCGCCGAGGGATGTGGTAGTGGGACGAGAAGAAAAGAGTGTGGCAATTAAGAGACACGCGCTCCCACGCCCCCGGGACATTGGCCCGTGCACACGCGGCGAAACTGATATCTTAACTTATCGCGCAAAAATCACCGCTCAATTTTTGTGTGTTTTTGCTTCGCAAAATAATCTCCAGTACTCGAACAACGCTTTAATCGGATGTTCGATTACCATACGTCAATTGGGCTAATAATAAATATATTTATTAATTATTTATTAATTTATATATTTAATAAATATATTTATTAAATATATAAGTATGTTTATTAATTTATAAATATATTTATTAAAATATACGCTAACATATTTCTTTATAATAAAAATGATAGCATAGAGGGTAAAATTTTATTTATTTTTTAATATATTGTGTATTGTGATATATATATATATATATATATGTATATGTATATTCTTATCATATCAAAAATATCGGAGATCAAAAATAGGATAGATAGTAAATAATAGATATAATAGTTAAATATGCATTATATTGTTATATTAACTTTTGTTTAATTTTTTATATTAAATTTCGCTAATAAATAATTTTTTTGATATACTTTAATATGATTAAATTGTTCGCGATTATATCCAAACATCTTGTTTTCCGATTAATAGAGCTCTTTTACTTTACTTCATGCGTAGTTAAAAATATAAACTAAACAATTACTTGATTTCTTACATACCTTTAACAACACTTGCAGACGTCATATTTAATGAAATCATCTACGATCAATTATCACTTCCTGTACGTAATAAGCTACATATATATAAAGTAAAACTATGGTATATCATGTTTTAAATATTAAAATATATTCTATCTTCATCTTTTCTTATAAGCGTACTTCGAAGAACGTGAGAAAGGTGACAATTAAATTGCATATAACACACATGACGTAAATGTATTAACCGTGCACTACAAATGTACAATGGTACGATCGACGCAAATGCTGAATTATTATTAATTGACATTTATATTTATAATATAGAAATGCATTTCTGCATAAATGATCTGAATGAAGATGATATCATCTGATCATGATCTATTTTTACAATCTTTTGAAGAAATTAGTCAAGTGAAGCGCTATTAATTAAAGCTTTATCCGCGCAATATAAAATGATGAGACTTAATAAACATCTAAGATTACATCATTATAATGCGGTCTCGCCGGCAACAATAATCATAGGGCGATATGCACTTTGAAATAATGAAATAATGCCGCAGAGCGATGTGAAATAGATGGGCATTGCGAATAGATTTCGGCAAAATTGTATTGTGAGAAACATGCCGTTTGCAGAAATCACCATTTATGGAACATTGTTACTCAATCATCGTTACGGAACATCGTTAAGAAATAGTTTAAGCAACGTGGAATCAATGTAAATTATACCTCTTCACCTTATGTATGCCGTCGCGTTAAAAGGAAATATTTTTTACTAAAAAAATACATTTACATAGATTATATACTATTACAAATTATTAAATATAAACAGTATATTTTGTAGATAACACGTAATTGCAATAAGTTTATTTTACAGTTTATTTTTGTACAATATATTACAATATTTAACTTCAAAAATAGATATTTGTTGGGTTGAAATATTCTGGTGGTGATTTAAATTTGAAGATATTTCTTTTAAATAATAATATATTCACATTTATATGATATGAAAGTTAATTATACATTTTATTCGAAATACATTGCATCTACGACTTCAAAGCAAACGTAGGAAAGATATTTCGCGTTGAAAGACTTTATAAAAATAGCTCAAATATTATTATAATATTACACAGCAACTCCAATCATTTTCTCGTGTGTATATATACACAAAATATACAATCTTCTAAAAAACTATATATCCTCTTTTCCGTTTCGATGTATTCGAAACACTAGAGTTTATTTGTTCATAAGTTCATCGTTATGAACAATTTTTTATTTCGTATTTACACACTTTTAGTATATCTATTATAAATTCCATCGTATCCATTATGAGTCGCAGAAATCGGTTCGAGGTCGTCATTAATAATACCCAAGACATACCTTCTGTAATAGTGGGATGTGACGCTTTCGATCCGGTCGAGTTTCTTCTGGCTTACGTTCATCACACGCTTATCGGAGCTGTACATTGGATTATCTGAGCTGAATCCGATTGTTTCAAATTGTAACACGTCCTCCTCTTCGGCCAATATCGGGTTCACCATGAAACATCCGATAAGCGCCCCGTAAAGTGAGTAAGTTTGCAGTTCCTTCTCCAGCCATTCCTTGTCGAGTTCGGCTAAAATCTGTTCGTCTATGTTTGATCGACGGAGTTCTTTGAGAAACTCGGTGTGATAAATCCTAATAAGACTCTCGTAGCTTTCCTTGATTAACGACGACTGTACGCTAGAGTATATAAAGTAATGGATGTCGGTGGCTATCGAGGTATGCCTGCATATCTGGTAGTCGACGAATTTTAGATCGATTATTTTGCCGTCGTTATCGTGCAAAAACAACATATTGTTCATCCACGGATCGCCATGGCAGATTGTGTGATATTTCTCCTTCGGCCCATTGAATATCCGGTACATTATATCGTAAGTTTTACCAACATAATCGGCAATGTGATCTATGACAGCTTGCAGTTCTTGCGTTCGCGGTTCTATTAATTCTAATGATTTTAGCGACGACTGCATAGACATATTGGAACACATTCTCATTGGCGTCGTCTCAAAATTGTCTTTGTAAATTACTTCTTCCAAAGACTCGGTTAATTCGCCGAACAATTGCGGATCCTTGATCTTTACTGTTAAAGCCGACGCGTGAAATTTGGCAAGTTTCTGAAGAGAAAATATTAAAAAATATATATGCACATTGTCAAATATCGATTATTTTACTCATGGATCTTTCTACAATTATCTTTCTACAATTATTGACAGATTTCTAACGAAGTGATAAGCCGAGAAATGATAACATGCTGATTAATATGATAAAAATTAAATTAAATAACGTTGATAAAAATTAAAAATTAAAAATTTTTTATAACCGTTGTAAATAAATAAAGATAGAAATTTATATATAATTAATACATAATAATAATTAATACATTAATATATTATAATATTAATATTAATATTAATATTAAATATTAAATTACAATAATATTATTATATATTAATTTAATATTAATATTAATATTAAATTAATATATAATAATATTAAATATAATTAATATATTAATATAGATATAAATATACATATAATTAAGTAACTGATAGTAGTGTGTAGTATATGTTGTGTCTAATAATATAGTATATGTGTAATAATAATAGTAATGAAACATTTGTAATTCATTTTCAAGTTTTATTATACGATCAAATTTTAATTTAAAACTTAAAATCAAAAAATCTTCATAAAAATAATTCAATCTTATATTAATTAAAAAATATGAATAATTTATGAATATCATTTGCGTAATTATTCGCAAGAATACAAAGAGCAAGGTTAATATTGACAGTCTTTATCTTGATCTCCAACTTATGATCATTCCATAAAAGACTGACAACCATATATCATTAATCACTTTAACCTTAACGATACTAGACAATCTTTAAAAATCGTTTTGCTTTTGCGTCCAGATAATAATCGATAATTATTGCTTGGCTCGATTATGCAAAAATATATTCAAAAAAGGTGTCACTGATCTTACACACATGTTATATACATATTAGGTTATTTCTTATAGTTTTTACTTGTATTTTACGTTTTAATAATACTTAATAATCTTTAAAGTTATAATATTAATTTATAAACGTTGAATGTAAAATAATTTGCGAATCTGTCAGCGACGCATTTGATGCAATTATAATTTGATCTAATCATCTATTCGATTATCTCTTATCTCAGATACGCGAGTCGCGAGATAAATAATGATTACGAAATGATTAATTGAAAAATGCGTACCTTCAAGGCACAGACGGTGTGATCCAAATCCATAAAGTTGCGCCTCTCGCAATTAATGTATCCCTTCACCGCTAGATCTTCCATTGTTACATTCTCCCTATCGGCGTTTATACATTGAGGATTAAAAGGCCCAAGAACAGGCAATATTTTTTGATAGACGTGTTTCTCCACACGGAATAAAGCATAGACGTCTATTAATCCAGCTATTGCACGCTTTTGGACGATACTTTTCGTTATAACATTCTTGATATATGCTATGCATAAATAAAAAAAGAAACAAGATTCAAGAACATGTTATGTTTATAAGATATGCAATTGAATATCGCACTTATGTGTAGCTATTTCTCGCAGGAGTGCAATAGAGCGATATATCATTTTAATTGAATAATAAGGATAAGGAATCATATCATTTTAATTGAATAATAATCATAAGGAAAAAGAAACGATAAAGAGAGAGAATTTAGTTTACACATAAAATTAAAAATAGACTAACGATAAAATTAAAAATAAATTAATAATAAAATTAATAAAATAATAAAATTAAAAATTAAAAAGAATTAAATACACTTTTAATATATTTGTAGTTGCAATCATACACATAAAGCGAGTTATTAGAAAAGTTGTCATTTAAAATAATATTTCGTTGTATCTTGAATTAGTGATGCAACAATAAAATAAGACGTCACTCCACTTATGTGATTGCGAAGTTATGTAACTGACAATGAAAATTATATCTCGTCGAATCGAGCTTCATCGTCGGTTTTACTAGCAATTTTTATTTGTCTTTCGTAATTAACGCATAATAATAACAATACTAACGATTTCCGTCCCCGCGTGTACCAACGAGTTTCGTCTTGACCACCACCGATGTATAATTGTCACCAGGTTTCGATCCCGGCTTATCCACGGCCAATAGAATCACCAATTTATCATCATTCTCATATTTTCTCAGATAAGCTTGGAAATGCTTTACCTTGTCTGAAAAGCATGATTAAACAAAATTAAGCATGTCAAATTGATGTAGTGGCTGTAAAGCTATGATTAGAACAAGTTTGCGTTAAAATGATACTGCGCATTTTAGTCTCGTGCGATCAGTTTTACTGGCATTATTATTTCATGGTCGCGACCGCGATAGATAAATTGATTTGACCCTTTCTATGTACAATAATATGGCATACAAGTAGGCGAAATAAACTATAAACTGTAACTATGCAACGAGTTAACGGTGACATGTTTATTAAGAATGAATGGACAAAATCGAATATTGTTGATATGAATAATTAAGAAAATTACTGATCAACAATAAAAAGATTCAGTATTGATATAATTTGTCACTTATAACAATATTATTATTATATATTTTATTGACACTCGATATTGCACTTTCAATTATTTTTAAACAATATTTATTCAATTAAATTAGAAGCTTAATTAATCATTATTATTATTAATATTTAATATTGTGAAAATTAAAATTTTAAAAATATTTTTCTTATCACAAACTGTCACAAAATTAATTCTATAGAAATACGGACTATAAATTTGTAAAAAGTTGCTCGACAGGAAGTGTCCTTAACTCAAGGACATTTCGTGCAACTGTTTGCGAAACGCAGATGCAAATTCATTCTCGGTACGGATATGAACAATTCTATGCCTGGCAATTATCAGATGGCAAAGATCAGGTATAAAATCAAAGTACAAATTATATTCACTCGAGTATATCATATTGACGCTGACGTAATATGGAATTAATTTATTGTAGCAAATCATAAAATTGTAAACAACTATCAGATAACACGCAGACTTAATTGAAAAACACTATTAAGGCTACATTTGCCTATTAAATTAATGTTGCATTATTTTAGTTTTTTCACTACAAAAAAGGGCAAGAATTTTTTGTCGGGAAATTGCGCCAATAAATGTTTTGAATTAGGATATAGAGAAATATGTCATAAACATAAATGCTTAATTATTAAAAAAATTATAATTAAAATATAGAAAAATATAATAGAAAAATTCTAAAAGATACAGAGAGAAAGGGACCTGCTCATATATCGTTCAATTTGAATGATACAGCAAAAAAATAAATTATAATTTGTTTGCAAATAATATTTTTTGTTTGCAGTTAATATATTTTGAAATTGTAGAAATTGTATATTTGTTTGCAATTAATATATTTTGAAATTGTAGAAAATGAAGAGTTCAACTTATTCGTTGTTATTCCTTATTTCTGTCCGAAATGTTAAATATATCTAATATGATATTATATATCTAATATATGATATTATATATCTATAATATAATTTAGCAATTGAATTATCAAATGTTATTTTCAGCGATCTCAAATAAATACAATTCGCATAAACATATTAATAAATATCATTGACCTTTTCTTACATTATACTAAGAGCGAGCATTACAATAAGAACGAATCTCTATTGTCGTTATACTTCATATTCTTGTTATAATTTTTTATTAAAACATTTATAACATTCATATAACTTTTTTATGAGTTTTATTCGTATATTGTCCGAAAAATGCTGCGATATCCTGTATAAAAAAAATTTCTATTTAGAAATCCCTAATATTTTTCCCTCTTTTTCATATAACGCTAGTTTCTTTCGCAACACAAGGAGAAACGAAAATCAGGTGATCTTGAAGACAACATTTCAGATCGAAAACTACACAATTTCCATGGATCTATGTGAATCATAACAAATATTCCGATCTATTACAACAATTTTTCTTCATTACAACTAATTTTCTAAATCTTTAAAAACTTTCTTACATTCGTACATATACGTAATTTGATATACTTTAGTTTTTTCATTCAGTTAATAAAATGCACCTGTAACGTAGCATAGTAACATCGTCTGATATGTTCGAATATCGCTGACTTATAAAAATTTCTGCAAACGTCTTCATTTGAGCAAACTTTTACCTATCATAAACGCTTTTTAGTTATGCGAACACTGCAAAAAACTAGCAAAAAAATTTAAATTAAATTTTATTTGCCTGATATAAAGATGATAATGTGACTGTTTTATCACATTATCATCGACATGAATCTCGAAATACTATCAAAACGATAACGTAACAAGGAAATCACGTTTGCGGCATGATATGGATCTATCTCTACATTGCTTTATCTGCAAAAATCATAAAAATCTGCTAATCTGCAAATCGTAAAATTCTCTCATAGAGATAATTTTCTTATATTCATCATTTGTTTAACTATATATAAATCGCTTATATAAATGCTTATATAAATGCTTGAAATATGTACTTAAGACTTTTAAGATAATTAATTTATCCAATCGCCGCAATTAAGACTTATTTAAAATTGTCAAAAATAATAAATATAGAAAAATAATATTTCATTAATTTTTATATACATTATTGCGAATTAAACAGAAAAAAATTTTAAAGATTTTTCTCTTGCTCGGGTATTCATGGAAAGATAAAATAATAGTCACATAATGAATGGAGAAATAATGATAAAAATAGGAACTATCATCTTATATATGAAAAAGATCATGATAGCAGATAAAATGCCACAGCAATAGTTCATAACGATAACAATTCATTGCCAGTCGGAATCATAAATGGAATACATGGAATTATAAATGACTATCATTTTTTATTTAAAATTTTGAATACATTTAAAGTTGAAACTTTCTAGTTGTCACATAATCATTAAAACTGATTATTAAAAATGCAAATAATATGTTCTTTTAAAAGCTATACAAATAAATAAATATAGATAATAAATAAAAATAAATTAATAATAAATATATTGCATTAAATGAAATATATATATAAAATTGTAAGAAAACAATTATCTCCAAGCAAAATATGTTTCTCTCGCGTTTAATTTAAAAAAACAAATAAAAATGTCAAAAAGAAAACAATATGCAACAGTAAACATACAACACAATGAAAACAGCAATAAAAATTACTGATTTAATATTAAAATGGCAGGAGGATACATCGCAAAATGATTGGACAAATAATTTTTATTGTCTCTGTAGCATATTTCGAGTGAAAACACGAAAAAATTATTTATTTTCCGAGGTAGAAATAATAATAAATCTTAATCGGAGATTTTACGTACCTTCGGCGGAACAGTTAACCAAACTGTTCTCCATTGTTGTGTATCACTTCACTGATCACGATCGTTTAGACGTCTTCGCTATTTGTACGACTCGCGGACGATGCGCGCTTGAAGGACATACGTTCATTACAGAAGAGCGAATCGACGCGCAGTGCGAGACGCCCCTCTGCACGTGTCGTTTTACTCCGAATGTGTGAAAGTGATGTAATATTGCATGCGTTGAGTACATATGATTACGCAACCAATCGAGGACAAATCGGTTCATCCTTTGCAGGAAGTAGCGACATTGACGCTCGCAAGATAAAGTGTCTTTTTTTCTGTGTGATTTATTTCCTCTTCCTCTATCGCTTGTTATAAATGACTTGTCTTTTTTATTTATTGATAAAATAATGATGTAGAAGGTGAACAAATTCCAAGAAAAAAAATGCATTATCATTTTTTATGACAAAATAATTTAAAACAGATAATCTCGATATTGTATCGTATCTCGAAAGTGTATATCGTAATTTTATATCATCAACAACACACTTCAAAATTAATTAATTTCATCAAATCGAAATAGAAGGAAATATGTATGTACTGATGTATCACACAAAATACCAGTTAAAATAAATGTAAATTATCTTTATTTTTTATCAATTATCTTTATCAACAGTTAGTTATCAATAATAATTTTCTCTTTTTATTAAAAAACCTTCTTAATAGTTAAATATATAAATAAACTCATACTTTTAATTTATGTCAAAATAATTATATTATTTGTATATTATTATATTTACATATATTTACATATGATTTATATAGTTTTATTTAGTATTTTGTTTATGTTCTTTATAATCGAAAGTTTTATACGTGTATTGTATATATTGTAGATGAGAGATATATTATTATCTCATCCATATAATCGATATCTTACTGTCACTAACTATGTCAACTTATCAGATATCAAATTATCAGATATCTATATATCTGTAATATCTGTAATATTAACAAATAGTGTGTCATATTTCGTAAATGAATTTCTAGTAATCAATCATGATAATAATATGGTGTAATATAGTATAATATGTGTAAACGCAAAATGCGCATTTGTAATTAATAATAGCATTTGTAATTATATATTAACAATTATTTACTAATTAATAATAATACTATTAACAGTCTATTGATTTAACTGTTATTTTACTAATTATTGATAGAATTAATTTCTAACATACAAATTGTTAATTACATTAATATTAGTTTTTAATGGTGTACTTACCTTTATGCTTGAATTCATGGGTAATTTATTGCGAATAAAATATGTACGTAATGTAAATGAAATAAATTTGAAGGCGAAGAAATTTAATAATATGTTGTAAACGAAAAAGCAGAATATGAAAAAGAAATGGTACGAGAGATTACTAAATTTTTCAAATCAATATTTTTGATAATATCCATGTGTTCACATACAGGACAACCTTTATTATCTTAATGCTGTACTAGTCACAATATAATACTACGAATTATTACAATATTAATAATATTATCATAGTCATAATAGGTCATAATTTTTAATATATATGTATATTTTTATATGTATATTTATATGTGTATTTGTGTAATATATTAATATATACTTATCTATACCTTGTGTTGTTACATAATACATGATTCCTCTCTTTTACCTTATCACTTAGCGTATATAGATATAATGTATATGTGTATATATATATATACGTATATGTGTCATCTCTGAATGTCATACGTGTAAATATATATACATATATGTCAGGATGGTATAAATAATATTGTATTTCATAAAAGCACTTCTTGTTGCTTATAATATTATCGTTTTCATATTGTTTCTTTACCTCTGTTAATGCCACTCTTTCTCAACTCATTTCGCTTCTACTCTTTCTTTCCCACTTACACTTTTTCCCTTTCATTTTCTAGCTTAGCCTGTAGATATCATACACATCACACACACACACCATTCTCACTCTTTTCTTGCTCTTTCTATGTCTTCTTTCATTCTTTCGCTCTCGTTTTCATCCACTCGCTTCTCCTCTTCAGGACGTCTAAAAAAAGTTTTTACTGCCTATGAATTCTGCACTCTTTCTCCTTCTTTCATTCTCTCTCTTTCTCTCTTTCTTTTATACTATTTCATTCATATTTACTCATTCGAGTATCATTTGAGAATATTACAAGTCCCACTGTATTTCCCTTAACCGATGGCCAACGTTTCTTTTTTTCCCCGTACATTTAATTTTTCTTCTTCTTATAGTTTCGGTTTTGTATTTTCTTTTTTTTTTTTTTGGTTTTCTTGCAATTTATAAATTATGAAATTCGCCGCGGTTTTACGATATTAATGTTCCTGCTGCCTGGTCCACTAACATTCCTAGAAAAAATATTCTTCGCCCCAACGTTTTATTAACTATATTTGAGAAACGTACTACTTACGAACGGATACTCTATACCCTTCGAGTGCTCTCTCTTCCTTTCTCTCTTACTCTCTTACTCTCCCTCCCTCTCTCTCTCTCTCTCTCTCTCTCTCTTTCTCTCTCATTTTTCTGCGAAAAGATATTTTTTTTCTTTCCGCGTTTTTTCACCACTTCAAACAAGAGGCACACACGAGTAAAGGATCGAAAAGATGCGAGATTCTCGAGAATGCTTTGTTGTTCTCGAATCCCAGAGCTGGGAAAAATATTATAAAAATATATTTTAAGTGTATAAAATATATATAAAAAATATCATTAGAAAATTTGTCGAAAAGTATATTTTCAATACCAAAATACGCGATTTACGAAATACATTTCAAGACGTAAGAAAAAAAAATACACCAATAATGCTTTTACAAAACTATTTTATTATTAAAAGAATATAAAATAAAAAATAAAATCTCTTCACTTAAAATGTAATGTTGTGTCAAAAATCACGTATAGTTGAAATATGTTATTTGCCTAGCTCTGGAATCCGGGATCGGCATTATAATTCCTCCGGTATTGATGATATCCTAAAATGAATTCACACGAGAGCACTCGCCGACTTTGCAACGTACGTCAGTACGTATCTAATATGTTAACTCGTAAAGTGTGTGTCCTCGGATGTAATAACTAGATTACAACGATGATACAAAATATTATTCGCCTAATACCGATGTCCAAAGTGCAAAGGATTAAGTCTATATCTCTAACTGTTACGATGCGCACGAAGGACCTTACGTGGACATACATAGTTTCGTCGTAAAGTGTGCGGATGATATAAAGGAGGAAAAATAAAGAAATATAAGAACGGAAGAAGAATCGCGGGCTATGAAACTTTCAAGACGAAAATAACTTTCGTCGCAAGTTCCGGCTTGCTGCACCTGAAGAAATATCGGAGAGTAGGCGTTACACTTTTCTCTATTCTCGACGTTAAAAGAACGAGTACACATGAGAGAATCGAACCTCGGTCATTCCCTCCATCTCTGTATCTTTATCCGCCTCGGGATCGCTTTCGTTTCTCATACGACTCACACGACCGTCGTTGCACGTCGAGCCTTATATCCATAATCGTCGACTGGAGTCGCTTCCATTGATATGTCGTGGGGAAAACTCGGCGGATATAAGGCATACGGCTGCGAGAGATAATTAAAACGTGTGAAAAGTCAAATGTACACATCTCCTAATAAATGCCCACGAAATAAACATAATGATAAATCGTATTGTTACACGAAGGACGTGTAACGAGATACAAAATCTCTTCTACGTGAAAGCGTTATTTCGATGGTAGCTCACAATCTTCCCGTTTCGTAGGATGCATTAAGACCTCGAAGAAGCCGAGAAAGAACACAAGTCTCATTGGAAGAAAGTACATTCGTTTTAATAGGCCTCTTTAATAAGCGCTTCACTTTTTTAAAGCTCTCCGCCCGCGAAGCTCTCATCGCTTCCTCGACTCGACGGTTTCCTCGTTCGAAACGAAGGAAATTGTGCCACTTCGAAATAACGCTTCCGTATAATGCGAGTGGATGCACCGAGATGTGCTTCCTCACGAAACACGACACGTCGAAAGTGGAAAATAATGTTTGTCACGCGAGCTTTCTCGTTCCAAAATCAGAATCGTGCCGTCTTATTGTGCAACATAAATTTTCCTCTTTTATTCGCCGATCGAATTTGGAATTCTTTTCTGGAACACCTTGTATAATCGCCACGGAAATCGCTATACATCAATACTATAATCTTGCGATTTACGATCAATCGAGATTTAGCGACGGTCGGTGACTGATAACAGTTTCTAATCTGTAATCAATTTTTTTGTTGATAATTACTTGTATTATCGGTTATTTTCTCGAGGTCGAAATGACAATGCATTTGTAGTTTGCTCTATCCAAATAAGCAGCTTAACGTAATTATGGGAAAATAAAAATGCTCGATCTGCTCATAATACTCTCCTCTTATCTGTGCGATAACATATGTTTGCTCTTTTACATAGAGATATCTTTAACGTCGATTATTTCCTACTTTAATTTAAATATTCGTTTAATATGATTCATTATAATTGATATATGATATATATACGTATAATGAAATGTGAACTACAATTGATTTTACTTCTTACTTCTTACAGGTACTTACTTTCTTATTTATAAACGAGATAACGTTAATTATGAACAGATCGATCTCTCCAGCCAAACTACGATACCTTCGCGTAAAGCTATTATAAATATCTTAAACTAATTTTAATTTTAATCTTTTCCGAAGGATCGTATTGGCGTGATAGCGTTTTTTTCGTCTTTTCATGTAGTTGAACAAACAAGCGATTAAAAATGATTTCAATTTAGATTGTGAATTATCAAAGAAATTTATATAACAAAATTAATTCCGTAGGACAAAGTACGCGATTTATTCGATATGTGATAATATACGTGAAGTGATAGATTAAAGTGATCAGAAAAACAACATTATTCCAATTTTTCGCAAATGTACGCCGTACTATTCGATAAATAATCATAGTGAAAGATGTACGAGGAAACTTTTCTTGGAGTAAAAATTGCAAGAGAATAAAGAACATATAATGTTAAACATATCTGATTTTTAAAAAATTATGACAGTCTTTAATAAATATTTCTTCCTTAATAAAATATTTCTATTATAAACTTTGATACAGAGATATCAAATCATCCTATTCGATTGCGAATCTGAAACTTAAATTCTGATTCATTTTTTAAAAATTCGAA